CCTAACTTTCCTCTCGGTATCTCCCAGTCCGGAACTTCAAGTAATGATCAGTCACCGTTACTTCTTGCAAGGTCAGGTCAACATTCCAGCATGGACGCTCACAGAACACGGATGGCAAAGACACTCTGTGACTTCTCATGTGTTCACAGTTCCTCAGTGCAATTTATGGCACGAAAATCTGGCTCTGATTTTTCACTGCCCTCTAGTTTGTGCAGCCCTTTAATCTTATGACAGTTGGGTATATAGAACTACCATTTGGATCTGGTCAGGCTTTATAAATTTGCACAGGTTTAAAGGATTACAGAACTGCATGTCTATGAAGAATCAGGGCTGATAACATAAGATGCCAGGGCCTAAGAGGTCAGGGAAAAATCAAGTAGAAAAGTAATGACCTTAATCAATTTAATTCAGTTAAAATAAAGTACCAGATTATGACAGGGTGCATATGGGTGCACAAGAGAGCAAAGAGCACGAGCATTCCCAATGGGAAGAGGCCAGCCACGATCAGGATTACTGACTGCAGAAACTGCCCTAGACTAGCTTTGCTAGTATCACTATACCTGCAAAAAAACACCCAATGGAAGCACAGTTTATGCCAGGAAAAACAATTTTGTTGCTAGTATAAGTAAACTTTTTTTCTCTAAACACAAACATTATACTAACAAAACTATGTATTTTCCTGGCACAAGCTAGGTCTATGGGATGGATTTTCCTGGGTTATTCAGAGCCAAGGAATTTGACAAGATAACTTTATTCAGTGTCTGAATTTTTCTGATTGGCATTGCTTAACATGACCCTCTACATAATATGCCAGTCAGTTCTATCTGGCTTATGCCCAAGCCTTACAAGCACAGTCCCCCACACTCAGGAGAACACACTATGACCAAACCTTTCTCCTATACAGGCACTCCTAGAAGTTGGCAATGTTGTAATGTAGACCTGGCATCAAGTAGATGGAAGTTCTCTGAAAAAAATAGATTAAGTTTAAGAAAGGGAAATGAGAGGAGGCATTGATTTTTTTCTCTTCTGCATTTCACAAGTACAAGACCTCTGTGTGCATACCAAACTATAACTGCTACAACTGAGCAATACCAGCTCTCTCCTGCTGTTTGTAACACTAAAGAAAACAGAGCAGTGCATTAGTAGGGGAGTTCCACTCTCTTATCTGTGATTCTCCAGCATCTGTTAGCTAAACCTCTTAACTCCCCCAGCTACCCATTGCTCACACCAGGGAAGTTCCTAAAGCACACCTTTTCACTCAGCATGGGTTTTATCTCTTCGTTGATTTCTCCTTCTGAACTCCACACACATGGAATTTCTTGTTAGTAAGCCTATAACGACTATACGATCCCAGTTGTGAAAACTCCCCCTAGAGTTGAATCCATAGAGCTCATTTTTATGTTAGTTTCTTTTTCTTTTCGTTTCCTTACAACCACCCACCAAAAATCCCTAGATCTTTCAATGCACAGCGCTGCTTCCAGCAGTGCAGATGCTGTGGAAGGAGCTGAATTTCCTCAAGGTTTTAACTCATAAATCAATAAGGTTGCATAAGGGGTGAAAAGTCTCAGAGGCTACCAAGAAGAGACAGAGGACGATGGGCTATATCTCAGGGCTAGCAATCCCCAATATGTTACAGAATCTTTGTAATGAAATTAGAGCATCTTTTTTTCTTTTTTTTTAAGTAAAAGAGTGGTGTTTTTACAAGGTGTTTTATGATCCAGTGGTCTTAACCAGATTGCACAACTTGGAAGAAGCTTTCTATCATTGCAGCTGCTTCACCATTCTTAGCAACAGCAGGAGCAGCAGCTAACAGGGGCTACCATTGTTATATCCACTATGCTGTATCCAGGTTTAGATGACACTATTAAGAAGGTTGCTAATCTCTACTAGGGGTCCTATTGTTTTATCAGTACAGCGGAGCTACAATGGTGGGAGACTTCTCCCAAAAACTTGAGTGTAGATGTAACCATTGTATATTCCCCACTGACCACAATCTAGCACTAGTGTTACAAACAAGCAGCCCTCATACCCTTCAAGTACTACCACTGGGATTGCCATGTACTCTACATACCACTCACATGCTGTAGAGATTTAATCTTATATGATTAAGTCAAAATATCAGCCAATAGCAGATTAGCCAGCATAAGGGAGTTTAGCAGACACTGCATTTCTTTACAGACAAAGCCATCAGAGCTCAGTTCCCCAAGGCACTGAATGAGAACTGAGTGAACTTTTTCTGGTGAAATTCAGAACTGCTTAAACTCACTCGGTTTCAGATTTCATTAACAAAAAACTCATCAAGAGGTTTCCTAAGGTGAAAGACAACCTGTCCCAGTTTATGGATTTGTATCAGTCGCATTAAATTAATCTTTAAGTGTGTTTTCTTCATGAAGTAAGGCAAGACTTTTCAGCTTTAATTGAGATTTCATTTGAATTTTTTTAATTTCTTCAAGCTCTGAAAGCCTCAAAGTTTTGATCATTCCCTATTATACAAAGCCAAAAAATGCATTCATCCAGAACACTACATTTCTCAGTCTTGAAAAAGGTCACAAGGAACATGAGAACTGGGACTGGAGACTTTAATCTTTAGCAGACTCAAAGATAACGTCAGCCCAGTGTAGCTTGAGGTAAATGGTGCAACTCAAGGAAATCACTGGCCCACATGCAGCAGTGAAATGATGGAACCAGTTAGATTTAAAATATAAATTGGTCACAAGATCCATTGGCAGAGAGAAGTAACTGGTATTTAGTGGATGTGCAAAATGAGCCCAACTCAGATGCTGTAAAAGGAAGGTTTAAGCTGAAACAGAAACAGAAAGCTGAAAATGAAATCAGGCCAACACCTTTCCTTGAAGGCTGTACCTTATCCAGGGGTCCTCCCAGCATCTGTTTGGTCTGTGTGTGTTGACTTAATCTGGAACTGCAACCTTCAGTGCTGGGGCTGAATGTGCTTCCTTCAGCACTCATAAGTTATGTTCAATGGATGTGTAGCTTACATAAATTAGTAAAAGACTAAAACATTAGACTGCTTACAAGCTTTTCCTGATGAACATACCACTTTTGACACACTGTGAATTGTTTGAGATGAGAGATTGGCCCATTGGACTGTTTTCAGACTAACTGGGCACTGTCTGGCCTCCCTTCTGTTTATATGAGGCAGTAAGTCTCTACAGGCTACAATTGCAGTGGTGTGCACAGAAAAACAAGGGAATGGATTTACTGTATCACAGGCATCCATATCTGCTTCCTGAGCTCCTGGATCAAATTTGCACAGATATTTCTGTGAACGATACCCGAGGGAAGGAAGGTTCTTTTCTAGAATAACTTTTATTTCTTTTTAAAACAAATAACCTTTTGCAGCCACACAGCCTCCTAGAATACTGTAAGTCACTGCAAGTGCAAGTGTCTGACTTTTCATGCATGTTTGAAACAAGGGCTCTCTCTACTGGTGCCTTAGCAGCCTGTAGCGCGGGCCAGCTCTACAGAGAAATGTGCTGTGGATCTTTGCTACACCAGCTTATTCTTTTCAGAAAAAATCCTGTCCCTTCCTCTGCAGACATGAGAGTCCTCTTATAGTAGAGGCAGAACCATATGGTTCCCAAGACTATCATGTTCAACTGCCTTAACCCTGAGTTGAGAGACTAGCTGTCAGGGTGGAAAGGAAGGTTTGGTTAGCCATTCTGTCCTTGGGCTATCTGCTGATACTACCAACAAAACTGCCAGCAGTGTTTACATATATAAGATTTTGGATTTCATTAGGTTTAGGGACAGAATTCAAAATGTGGATACAATAATTTAATTTCAGCCCCTGAGAGGAGGGGAAGGAGGAAGGAAAGAGACGGAGAGAAATCGGTCAGCTGCAAAATGCTTCTGTATTTTTTGTGAGGCAAGAATCTTGTAATGTGATATCTTGTACTGGACCAATTATGTATTTGGGATAAAGTTAGACAAGATTTTGAATGCAAAGCATTCTTCCTCAGGTAACTCTGATCACAGGAAGCAAGGCACAGGATAGTGAAACACAGCAGAAAGAAGGGACTGAGAAATTCTTGGGAAAGCAGACACAACCAGCAGAAGAAAAGAAGCTGATTCCTGGGAGATCAAGACCTATCAGAAGGAAGGAAGATCAATCTCACCTTCTTTGTGTGGAAAGAATTCAGGAGTTGGATAAATTATGATGTGCCATATACCCAATATCAATGTTTAGACCTTTGTTCTTAGGTCCAGCCAGTTTATGAATTTTTGTTTCCCAGTCACCTTCTAAAGGTTAGGTAGATTCCCTTGAGCATGAGAATAGCAAGGTTAGAGAGGGAGTGGTTGTTCTGTGAGAAACATGCTCCTAATGGTGGGTGTACATCTCTGTCCTTTATATTTTTTCTGTGAGAGGTCATTCTAGTGCATAGTTGCAGTTTAGTTTCACTCACACAGTTGTCATGAGAGCACTTGGTACATTGGATCAGGTATATCACGTTTTGGAAAGGGCATGTGCAGGAACCATGGATTCTGATGTTTTCTTTGATGGGGAGTGTTGATAGTAGTGGCAATGGAGATATCACTTTAAGAAATTCATACTTCATAATTTTTGGATGGTTATGACTACATCACTCTTACACTTCTGTATGTTTTAAAACAATATGTAGCTAAAAGGCAGATGCCAGGTTTTGCTGTTGGCTTCTAGATTTCACAAAAGTATTAAGACTTTCAAGACTCAAACCAAGAGAGTTGTATGAATTTAGGCCTTTGGATCTAAGCTCTCCTCCAACTACCGCACACAAACAATTCCAAGCTTTGGGGGAATTCAGAGTATTGGTATGACTTTTTCATCTGGTCAAGTCTAAACCCTCTGATCCAAACCACAGTTAGTGCAATTACTCTAAAATTTTACACTGCTGTGTGAAAGCAGGCTTTATCTTCCCATTTTTAACTAAATAGGATGTGTTCAGTTATTTACTATTAAACAGCAATAACTGTCATTTGAAAGAATTTTTTTCTGTTTCTAGAATTGCAAAGGGAACAACATTTGAGAAGGGAGGAAACAGACCAGAACTCTTTGAGCTCAAGATCCCACTCTGTTCTGAAAATGGGAGGTAAGGGTAGGGGGGACGGTGAGGATGGGGGGAGGGGACAGGGAGAGACATCTCATAGTCCTCTTCTAAATGTGTATTCCCTTATTTTAAAGCAGGTTCTAAGTCTGGCAAAGTTAGTTCTCCCCAGTGTTTTTAGGACACTTGTCCACTGGGAACTCATCTGATACTATGACTGGTACTTTAAGCCATGCTAATGCTTAGTTTGAAAACAAGAGGCAGGGATAATGGTGATGAGGAAACTAGCCAGTGTAAGCCTGATTCTAGCCCAACATGCACAAAATAAATGTTCTTTACTTTCACAGATCCAGCTAAGCAGATGGATAGAGAACTTGCATCCAACAGTGCTTTACACTTGGGGTCAGATTTTGCCTATGCAGTGAACTTTGTTGAAGAGATGTAAGTTCATAAGAGATTTTTTTTTTAAGTTTCCTCTTTCTGCATCTTAAATTTGATTTCAGTGAAGTTTCCTTTCCATTATTCTGAGAAGAGAAATGCAAGAAGCTAAAAACTATCTATAGTTGGACACTTATCATTACATTACTTTTCAGCAAGCAATGTAATGTGAAGGTAGAATTTTTCTACAGTTGTGACTTTAACGTATTAGTTAGTGAAACCTGTGCTGAAAGCAATAAGGGACACACCCTATCCCCGGTATAGCAAGTTCTCCTGAGATGAGACATGATTGCAGAACGCAGAGGGTGTGTCTACACAAGATGCTTTACTGTGTAGTAGCATAATTTACTACACAGTAAGTATGTGCATCTACACATGCACACTCTTACTGCGCAGTAAATCTCACTAATTGCAAATACAAGTAGCAAATTTACTTGCGATTACTTACTGTGCAGTAGCACTTGTGTAGACACATGACTGAGAGCAAATTTGCTCCCTGTCAGCTGGCCACCAGGTAGCAGGAGATTGCTCCCTGCCCTTGGAGCTGCCTGCTGCTGGGGTGGGCTCTGCCACTGGAGCCCAGCCAGGGACTATGTCCGCCTGCCCTGGCAGCAGGGAGCTTCAATTCCTCTGCTCCGAGATCACAATCAAGGAGTGGGGGTTAGGAGATTCCTATCTCCTAACCCCCACTTCACCATCACATTTGAGAAGTGGGGGGCTGGGAGATCCTTATCTCCCAGCACCTGTCCCATGAGCATGGAGCTGGTGCTAGGAGCTTCCTGCTGGTGAGGGCTGGGGACCCTGTTCCCTGCCCTGCTCTGTGATCACAGAGCTGAGTGGGGAAACAGGCTTTCCAGTAGGGCTGAGCAAAGCTGATTCAATTTGGAGGAGATTCAGCCCTATTTGGCGACCGAATCTCAGAATCTGAATTGAATTGGGAGACCTTTAAAAGGTCCAAATCGAACTGGAAGCCTCTGAATCAATTCATAAAAGATTCGGCGCTGCTTTAGAGATTTGGCTATAGACTAAACAGGCAGCAGTCCTCACCACACAGCTACCTCCAGCTGGTAAGTGTTTTGTGGTGGGCCGAGTGGGGAAGGAAGAGGTGTGGGGGAGGGAGGGATTGGGGCTGGGACAAGCTGCCCAGCTGGGGCAGGGGGGCGTGGGACTCAGGGAGTGGGGTGGGGGTCACAGGATGCGGGCATGGCAGCACTGGGAGTGGGGGCTATGCCATGCTGCCACTTGCCCAGCCAGGGCGGGGCAGAGTGTGGGATGCAGGCGTGGCAGTGCTGGGAGTGGGGGCTATACCCTGCTGCCACTTGCCCTGCTGGGATGGGGGGCACGATGCAGGTACGGCTTGCTCCAGGTGGAAGGAGGCAAGCAGCAGCAGGGCATAGCCCCCACTCCCACCACTGCCGTGTCCGCATCCCACACCCTCGCTCCCTGGCTGGGCAACCAATGGCAGCACCCACATCCCACACACACCCCTGCCTCAAATGGGCAAGCAGCAGGCTATGCCTTACTTTCACTTGCCCAGCTGGGGCAGGGGGGCACGGGATGTGGGCATGGCAGGGCTGGGTGTGGGGGCTCTGCCCTGCTGTTGCTTGCCCAGCCAAGGCAGGGGGGTGTGATGCAGGCATGGCTCACTCCAGGCAGAAGGGGGCAAGTGGCAGCAGGGCATAGCCTCCGCTCCCAGCACTGCTGTGCCTGCATCCCATGCCCCCACACCCCTGGCTGGGCAGCTTGTCCCAGCCCCA